AATTCAGTTAAAATGGACTCTAATACAATCTGATTAGTGTTCTCTTTAAAAAAAGAAATTTCAACACTTGGAGGAATGCCTGCACAGAGGAAAGGCCATGTGAAGAAAAACAAAACAAAACAAAACAAAACAGCAAGAAGGCTGCCATCTGCAAACAAAGAGAAAGGCTACAGAAGAAACCAAACTGTCAGAAGATAATTTTCTGTTTTTTAAGCCCACCCTACTCCCCTACCCCCGAGTCTGTGGTATTTGGTTATGGCGGCCCTAAATAGACAAAACATTTTTTAAAATATTTTTATTGATTTCAAAGAGGAAGGGAAAGGGGTAGAGAGATAGAATTATCAGTGATGAGGGAGATTCTTTGATTAAACAGAGCCAAACATTTTTAAAAACTGGCATATTGGAGGATAGAGTATCTAATAGGTAAGCCTTCTATTCTAATTTTAAATGTGATATTTGAATAATTAATTTAGATATGATTTTAAATTGCAATTTTATAAATTTGTAAGCCATATTGAAACTTTAAGAGCACATGAATTATAAGTTTAATTATATTTATGAATTATTTAAATATATATGAAAGCTTATTTTTTAATTGAAATTTTAAAATCATTAGAAAATGTAATGTAATGAAGGGCATAAATAAAATTTAAAATGTTTAAAAGAATTTAGTTAATTAAACTATAGAGATCATAAAAATGGTTGTTAAAATTTCATCAAATTATAGATAGAACAATAATTATAATATATTTAAAGTATAAGTTACTAGAGTTTTCAATTTGTAAATATAATAAATTAAGTATTATATTTTAAAACAATCTCAGACTTACAGAAAAGTTATAAGTACAGGCAAAGAATTTTTTCCCTGAAATATTTATAATCTGCTGACATGATGCCCTTCCACCCCCAAATGCTTTAACGTAATTCAATCAAGGGCATATTCTAATATAACCACAGCATAATCAGGACATAAACATTTTTACATTAATCTAATCTAATCTTCAGAAACCATTCAATTTTTATCAATTGTCCTCAATTTCTCTTTATAGTATGAGGATACAACTTGGAGTCATGTGTTGCATTTGGTTACTATGTCTTTCTAATCTCCCTCAGTCTGTGATGGTTTCTCTGTCTTCTTTCATGTTCTTGACAATTTGGAAGATCTCAGGCTAATAGTTTTATATAATATCCCTGAATTGGGGTTTATCTGCGTTTACTCTTGTTTAAGTTCAGGTTATAAAACTTGGGCAGGGATATTACCAAAAGATTGCTGAATTACTCTGTTGCATTTTATTGGTTAGAGAAGAAATTTAATCGCCTCAATATTGATCATATTCTTTTCAATCACTGACTGAAAGCAGCGTCTTCCAGGCTTTTCCATTGTTCCTTCTGTAATCAATAGGCATTTTGTGGGGGAAATACTACGTAAATATCGAATTTTCCATTTATTTATTTATGTGGATCAGGATGGACTCACGGTTTCTGCTTTTATGCCTATTGTATCATTATTTATTCTGATGCTCAAACTGCCCCAGATTTGACAGTGAGAACCTTTTCAAGCTGGGTTCTGTATCTTTTTGATAAACCCCTTCATTTTTTTGAGAACATCTTTGCTTTCTGGCACAAAATCAATATTCCTGACTCATGTTTTCTCTGCCTCAGCCTTGGAGTCAGTCATTTCCCCAAGGCTCTCTGCTTCCTTTTGGTAGAAAGTCTTGAGAAACTGAGATCTGGGTGCTAGGTGTGCTGACTGATACTAGATGTTGCTACCCTAGGCACTCTCCATTGGCAGAGGGAGGGAATATGTATGTATACACATGCCAGGGTCCAACCCCAGCAGGTCCAGGGGTCCCCAAAGGTGTAGACTGAGTCCACGAAGAAGGAATGACACGGAGACAGCGTTCAGTTGATCAGCAGCCTAGCCAGGATCTCCAGCCAAGTTCTGGTCTGGATCTCCAGAGAAGTTCTGCCGTTTATTGTCTTGTTACATCCGTATTTATACCAGTTGATTCCAATCCTGTCAATTTCTATTACAAAGGTTAGGGCGTTTCTTATCTCCATTCCAGGGAGTAAAGATTATGTACTTAAGCATGATTGTTCGTAGTTAAAGTGATTAACTACCCGCCTGGCACTTAGTTAAGGAGTTTCATCCCCTCCCTGACTTCAGGGAAAAATCCTTACCTGGGGAAACAACCTTTCTCAGAGAGGTGACCTTGGTTAAAACACACAGCGCTAAGGGAAGCAAACATATTAAGAACAGTATGCTATATACGCCAGGTCCCTTGAAACATATGCTGTGCAGATGTTTCTTTCCTGCAGCGACTGTGTCAAGCAGCAAGGATGGACCGGCTTCCGGCATACACACATTAACATGTGTCCTGTATCTGTATATTGAAAATGAGACTACATCAATACAGCCAATTCTAATGTAATACCACTCTAACTCTACTCACCCTGACTGGGATCTGACACCTCTTGCAAGACCATCCTTCCCCCATAATACACTCTTCTCACCCCATTGAAACTCTTAACATTCTGCTTTGGGCTCTCCCTCCCCCACACTCAGAGCAGACTTACACTTTGTTCTCACCTAATTGCCTTAACACTGGATTGTTTAGAAAGGGGAGAGAAGAGAAGGGGAAGAAGAGCAAGAACCAAAGATTAATTTTAAATCACAGGTGGACTCTGAATAAGATCTTTCCTGCACATAAGCCACCTGCAGGCTTACATGAGGAAAATGTGTTCTTTTCTCTTTTTTTTAATATATTTTTTATTGATTAAGATATAGGAAGGGAGAGGGATAGAGAGCTAGAAACATCAATGAGAGAGAAGCATCGATCAGCTGCCTCCTGCACACCCCACA